TAGCCAGCCTTTTGTTTCGTTTTGTCAAGCGCACGTGGATAAACTTGCGTGGGTAAAGCCACACGCTTCGATGACAAACGTATACTCCTCATCTCGTTGTCTTTGTGCTTTCGCATCTGTTGCCCGGCTCTAGGTTCGCTCGTGGGACGTGTACCTTTATGTTTCCAGAGTAATGACGGTAGTGCCCCTCTGTAGCCATGTAAGTACATTTAATTTACGGTGGTGCGGTTTCGTGAACGCAAATAGAGCTTGCGTCTCTGGAAATAACAGGTACTCCACATTGTATCATAAAATACAGGGGAAATATTCCAAAAAATACGCGGGCAAACATTAACCCGGTACAACTCCGATGTTTGGGCTTCCTCTGCTTTTTTAACGCTACGTTGGCTTTGCTTCTCTTTATTCCCGGGCTAATCTTGGCATTTATCTAGCCGCTCCTTTTTTCCCTCCCTCCTCTCTGCGTGTGCCTGTTCCTCTTTTTGTACATTGAGCTGGAAAAACTAAAATCTTTCGGACGGGCGTATGTACTATATGGCCGAGCTGAGCCACGAGGATTTAAAAGGCTTAATTCAATTTTAGGAATAGCCATTGTTTTAACTACTTTTTCCTACGTACACTACCACCTTTTGTCGTTATGTTCTTTTTAAGTTTTTTCTTGACATTCTCGGTTTTCACCGAAGCCAAAAAGCTCTTTCCAAACGGCCAAGAAGAAGACGTGCTTTATGCCCTGCTCCATGCGTTCCGACTGTGCACTTCAAGTGAGTAACGACGCGGAGATCGCAGTTATCACACAAATAAATTTTCCTCTCTCTATCCACCACGTGTGTACTTTTTCGTCGGAAAATACATTCATTCCGCTCTAACGAAACGAGACAAGCGTCGAATCCGTCGAGAAAATGATCATTCCTCTCTGTAAGTCCCATATGTATACGTACACCCCGAAAAACAACTCCATCCCGTCGCTGCTCCCGAGAGTATACGTAACAACAAAGAGCACACCTTACAGAGGTCCGCGGCTCAGCCACCAAATCCAAGCGGGGATATTCTTTAAAAAACCGCGCGAGCCAAGCAAAGCCGCGCCAGGGGTGAGTATTAAATAGCGCGCTCAAGAACACCGTCGAGGCTTCTTTTTCTTTCCTCCTCCTTTTTACTCCTTCCGCGCGGGCACACAAAAGCTTCCCCTCGAGCCATACGTCTCCTGTAAAATCGCGTGGGATAATCCCCGCAGATCCCCCCCCCCCCACCTTCTTTCCACCTACATCTGCATGTACGTACACACGTACCCAAGCTGTCGCACGTACTTCCCGTCCGTCGCGAGACGACGTTCGGCACGTGAGCGAACTTTTACGGTGTACCGTGTGTACGTGGGTCGCTTTTGTTACCCCGTGGAACGATCCGATCGAGCGCCGTCACCTCAGCGTCTTTGACATTTTCAATGCTGAGAACGCGAAGTGCGTGCTGATCGATGACCCCGTCGTCTACATAGGATGTTGTTGTATCGCGTATAATTTTGGCGAACATCTCCCTGTTTTTCAGGGGAGCGTGAAATGTACGTATAGGCACCTTGGGCTCCCCTAAAGTTTCCCCGTTCCGTAAAAATAACAAGATTTTCGCGTGGGTCACCGTGAAAAAGAACCCGAGAGGGAGGAAAGAGCCCCCAGCAGCACGTGTCTCCTCTGTGCCGCGCGTCTTTCCGTAGCTGCTTTCTCAGCCTTTTTTTTTTTTTCGCCACACCCCCGGGGGGTGCCTCTTTCGCGAGATCCAGACACAATTACACGGACTCGCGGAGAAGAGTTGCTCAAAAGAAGTTTCGCGCACATGGGGGTGCGTCGCTGACTACGACGACGATCTTCAATTGAGACTGTGCTACTTTTATCCTGTGGCGCTAATTTCGCTCGCCCTCCGGGCCGAAGAAGAGGGAACAAACGAGCCGCCCCGGGGCTGGAGAGATAAGGGAGCGCTATTCAATTGCGCGGATGGAAAATGCGACGCACTTGTCTCCGCTGGACGCGATAAATTGTGTTTAAGGTGCTCAGTAGCGAGGGGCGTCTTGGGAATATGAAGATTACATTGTTGAGGCGCTCCCGTTTACGGACGAGGGGACCGCTTTCCTTTACTAATAGATGAGTCGACGAAATTACACGAGCCGAGCCTCGAAGTATAGGTTTGGGGTGGAAAAAAAAAAAACAACGTGGTACGATGTTGTAGGTGCGAAGTGTCGAAAATTAAACGGTTTTTCTCGTAATCAAGGGAAAACTCGTCACTGCACACCGAGAAAAGAATTAAATAATAAAATTGCCACGCTGGAATTATAGTCCAACTTTTATTACAAGTAGAGCAATGTTTACCATTTGCACGGTATAAATGACCGCCCATAGCAACTGAACGTTAACAATCAAGTGGAAAGCCATTTTTATGTATCTTACGCTGTAGCGAGTTGTTTAAACGAGATTAATTAAAATTCATACAGCTGGGCGAGGTAAAACAAACACACAGACGCATGGCTTTGCGATTGTCGTACGAATCCGGTGATTCTCGAAGTGGCAGCCAGTAATCGAATCTGAAAAGCCGAGCACATCGGGGATAGACTGGGGGGAGGATGAGAGAGGCTCACTGGTGTACAACGAATTAAAAGATACTCGGACAGGCCGAAACGGGAGTAATTACAGTCTCGTTAAATCGCGGATGGGCGCATATACACGGAAGGAGGGAAGGAGAGGAGAGTTATGTGCGTTTGTCGGTTGGAGGGCTTTGCCGAGCGGAACGTCATTCGCGGAGACCATGATATGCGCGTGTATATACGGGAGGCTCGCCAAATGACTAGCTCCGTCTGACTGCAGCTCGAGTGCATCTACTGCGTTTTGCCGACTCGTGTGCACCCAATTAAGGGCTACACGTTGAAGGATGATTGGTATGATGCTTTTTTTTTTTAATTGTATTTGTAGCGATTAGGAAGTTGTTGATGGACATGAGCCAAAAACAATTATTTTCTGGCGTGCCAGTGGATGCAATCATTTTTGACTCTGCGCATACATATACCCATGAATTATGAGCAACGATTGGATTCTGGCGGTTTCGGCTTCGATAATGCTTTTGAAGGCGATTACGTTGAAAGCCGATTACGTGACCGATCGAACGTGTACCACCAGCAGTTTTTAATCGACTTGGTGGTTAATATATTACCAGTTTGTTTGATCGAATGCAATTACAATTTGGTGAGGAAATGGTCATTTTGAGCATTAAATTGTGCCTCATCTACCCTCTCTACTCCACCGAGATGATAAAATGAATCGGATTGATATTCAGCACCAGCGTACGAAGGTGCAAAAGGAGCTGAAGCGAATCGTCGCGCAAAAATCCGCGAGAGCGCGCAATGACGGCTGCTGCGACGAAACTGCCGTGAGGAATCTTATGGCGTAATTAAGTTGAAATTTCACGGTGGCAGCCGCTCTCTCTTTCCAACTTCTATCCCATTTTCAGAGCTAGAGTATACGCGTAGAAACTTTCGTCGAGCAACCGTTGTCGGTGTACATATATAGCGCAGGAGGTGAAGAAAAAAGGGACCCCACGCTGCTCCCGTTGGCGAGTGGATATAAAAAAAAAGGAGGGGGAACAAAGTTGGTGTCATCATCGCAAGCTCGCGGACTAAACTCAAAGCGATTCGTCCGAAAGCACCCCCACCCCCCGATCCACTCTTTCATCAGTGTAGCAGCGTTGCGATGGAAAAGTCTCGAGAGTCGCCGTGGCTTGGGAGTGATCCTAGCCACCAAGTTTTATCCTCCCTCTGGCCCTTTACCCTCGGTTTTTCCTTGTAATCAATTCTAATTAATTTTCGGGGCGCCCGTCACGCGGGGATGTACATGTTTCATTTTGTTCGAAAATTTGCGAGCTCTCATTGCAGAACAAGGTGGACAAAGTATTTCATCAATATAAAAACCCACGAGCCGCAAACTCGAAAAGGAAAGTAAGCGTCATCGAAAACCCTCGAGATATTAAATTTAATCAGCCAAAGAGCCATGGAAAGCTCTTGGTCCTTTCCCCTAAAACCACACGAAAGGCTCGAAACTTGTGGGGCTAAAGAGTGACGCGCGGCGATGGACAAAAGGGACCCTCGACTCTTTTTCGTGTGTATACCTGGAAAGTGAAAGGCTGGGCGGAAAGTAAAGTTTTTGAAACGAGAGGAAAAAAAAAGGAAAAAGAGTTCCAATAGAAAAAGAGAACGCGGTCGGTGCGAGGAGAAGAAAAATTCCAAGGCAAAGTCCCTGCGAGGCTTCCCAAGTCCGAAAGACGCGGAGCGAAAATCCAGTGACCGTAACAAAGGGGGACGGCCCGTCACGGTGACGAGCTTTCCCTACATACGGGTTACCGACCCGAACCCGATACTCCACGCTCACCCAACACAATCTCTCTTATCCGAGCTCTCGTTAATGCATCTTGGCCTGTCGCCTGAGCTCGCAAAAAACACACGCGCGGAGGGCGTCGTCTCTACATTGGCTTCGGGAAGCCCTTCTTCTCTCTTTTCCCGGCCTCTTTGCCTCTTTTCTCTACCCCAAATCCCCCCGCGCCCTTCTTTCCTCCGTGTGTGCACGCGCTTGACACTCGTCGGCGCAAATTCATTTTCCAAACCAGCACGTTCTCCGAGTATATATACGGAGGAGGATTTTACGACGTCTGTAAGGCGAACGCGTGTGCCGGCTGGCGCTGTCGTTACGGGCATCCCAAGCTCAGATGCAGCTGTTCACTTGATCGGCCGGCACGTATCTATACCCCCGTGTGTATACGCGTCACGTTGCCGGAGATTACAATTTTTTCTCTCGTACACTATTCCCATACGTATATTTGATAACCAACACGCAGACATACATAAAGTAAAGCTCCGCGTGGAAATCGCTGATCACGAGTCGGCCTACTTGTTTTCTCATTGGATTTAATTTAATTGAACGACGTGTATATAGGTTTGACGTGGCGTCAGTCATGCTCAGATCGACAGCTGTACTCACCGACATCTTGAGAGCCACCCCACGTTCCAAGTTGCGCCTGCCTGGCGAGTCTCGACAGCGCGTCCACGTAGACTTTGGAAGCCGCGGCGGCGCCTGCAACACAAAAGGAAAAAAAAAATTTACGAGAGAGATCTAGAGCAAGGTATAGAACAGGCCTATGTGTGTTTTCATTTTCTTGCAAATGCCTTAATTATACGTTGACCAGGCAAGTGATTGGATATTCTTGCAATGATAACTGAAAAAAAAACTGAGGTTTTTCATAGGGACAACTGAAATGGTGATGAAACGTTTCTTTCAGTGGAAAAAAAAAAAAGTTGATGAGAAAAAAAAAAAACAAGTAATATCCGTAAAAATATACGCATCACTTGATAATCTTTTCGAGCTATTATATACCATGTGTGCGTATGCTAATATTTACGGCTCGTGTACAACATAGCATCGCGATCGTAAATGATTCTTATCGCACCTTATCTTACATATATGTGAGATGAATGAGCAAATAGTTGAAGATTTTAAATAGCGTAGAGCAAAGAAAGAAAAAAAATGCTTGTACATCCTGAACCATCGTTAACATGAGAAAGTAAACAGAGTGTATTTATGAACCAACATCGTCTCACGGGTCCCTGGTGGCAAAATCAACTGCAGCACATTGTGAACTCGGCGGGAAAACAAAGCACATTCCGTGTATACGTCTTACCCCCATCCATCAGCAAATAAACGAGGCACATCGTCTCCTTAACACCCTCGCAAGAAAAAAAAAAAAAAAAAAAAAAAAAGCGCAGCATCGGAGCGGTAGGTAATGGCACCCTCGGCCCATTTACTCGGCGTCTACGGCAATAGCTCGCGAAATCATCCCAGCTCCCAAAGACAAAAGGTGAGCATTAAGCGAACGCTCCCACGGAATATCAATGCTAAGTAGCCGGGGAGCGACACCCGGACTAAGCCTCGCCTCTCTCTCTCCTTCACCGGCTGTAGTCGTGCTCTAGCATGTTTCTTCCTACTTCTCCCGCTCTCGCTTTTTCCCTCCAAGACAAACTTATCTCGTTATCCCAATATTTTCACCCCCTCCCCCCAGCCAAATCCTTCTTAGTGACTCACTTGGCATCGACGTGCTCTGCATGCCGATTGCGTCGCAAGCGCGACAAGTACGTACATCTCTCCAGCGACCCCGGAAGTACTCGGATGACTGCGCCCCACATTTAATTGACAGCGTTGTACGCAACAGTGCAAAGTTCGAGGAAACTTTTTTTTTCCCACCAATCGTACTTGTCCCATACGCAATCCTCGAGGTTTTCCCGAGCACACGGGCTCGTTGAAATTCCACTGGCGGCCTCGTCGGGCTCTAATCCAATCGACAGCCAAGTCTAGACTAATCGAGCTGGGTGCGTAAAAATTTCCGTAACTCTTACTCAACGCCACCCCCCAAGCTGGAAACATCATGTCCGCGCTTCCCGACGGATTCAACCTGTTTACGATGCGTCCTCCCCCCCAACGAGTCGCGACAAAGCGCCCTTCTTTCCAGCGGCCGGGTTAATTGTCATTCTCGCTCATTGCACCCCCCACCCTGCTTCTCCCGAATAATTACGTTTTCCGTGCTAGCTCTGCCCTTCTTTTTGCCTCTGGTATAATTTTCCGCGACAGCCGAAATTGCCGGGACGCGGTGGCTAAATAAATTACGCCCGCGCGAAAGAGGTGCTCGGTAATTTTCGATCGAGGGTTGGGCCCCGTGTTTCGTCCCTGGCTGTGTCGAATGCTTTCTTAAAGCCACAATGAGCCTTTGGAAGGAAATGAGTATGATGGTGTAAGAAATCTGGGTCTGTCTCGAGAAATCAGGGCCGGTCGTTTGTCACGCGTAGAACGAACGTGTTTGTTTTGCCGCGACTTTGCGTGCACCAAGAAACGCTTCAACCTCATTACCTGCGACCAAGTACCACTTGTACGAATGCAAATTTTTACGGCTTTCGTGGAAAGGAGGGGTACGTGCGGCTATTACAACCGGTCGAGTGCCTAGTTTCTTTGTGGGTGGCGATCATAACTTCTAATGACCGTGAAACTAAACGAAGAGTGTACACTTATGTGAGAAACGAAAAAATGTGAGTGTACATAAGGATACCTCGAGGTGTACTTTTTCTCCACCGTAGCATTATCTGGCCGTAAGTAGATTCAATTAAAACTTTTCCAATGAAGCGAGACGCCGATTGCAGTGGAAAAATTCCGCGCACAAAGGCCGAAAGGCTGTATAACGAAGATACCCCGCTTGTAACGTCGAAATCCGTCGATGTCCTTATCCCCGTCACTGCCGGTGACAATTGCTTTTTTTGCAGAGCACTGCGTTGCGTCTTATTTTTCAAACTGTTCAACTTTGTTTTTTTTTTTTTGTACTCGGCTTTCCAACTTTATCTCACCCAAAACGAATAGTAGGGATTCGGCTGGTTTCCAGGGACAATTACAGCATCATCAAGGAGCATAAAACAGACGTCAAGGAATTGTACGTAGCTGCAGCCACGCGTCAAGTAACACACCTCCAGCAGCCCGAAAAGCTCTCGCGCAAGAGAGCAATCGAATTTCCCGAATCTCAGGCGTCGTCGACGAGTGGAGAATGGGACGGGGCACAAGGGGTGGGAGGAATATGATTCGCAGCTGTGGCGAGAAAACGGCAGATGTTACCGCAAAAGAGGAGGAGGAGGAGCTGAGTTTTGCTCTTCTCTCCGTCCTAACCAGACCAAGTACACGAAAAGCGAGTCTCGGAAACTGTACTCCAGCAGCAGCAGCGCTTACGTATATGTACGCTATGTATAAGCAGAGGGTAAGGATACACACATTGAAATGCGTCGGTTCTCGATTGAGGAATACCCGATGACTACAGGCTCTCGCTCCCTCTTTGTCATTTATACGTATGACTTGCCCCTTTATCGTTGCACCAGCGCGATATTGTTTTCTCTCTGCAAATGATGCCAATTTAGATTCAGTATGCAATATGATAAACGATGGAAAATTATACGATGCAATTATTAGTGATTTCAATTGTACGGTTTCTGGAAAACTGTAAGGACAAATCTCTAGGGATAGTTTATTGGAGGAGCGAATGAACGTTTCGCGAAAGAAAGAGAAAATACGGCTATAATTCACGAAAGATTAGTGGAGTAGAGAGAGGGAGTCTGGAGCAGAGAGTTTCCATCGAGTGCGCTATACGCGAGTGTGGATTCCTCAATAATTGAAAATTAAACCCGGCGTTCAGGGGCCCACGCCTCCTCTGACGTGAAAGGTGCACACCACGTGCCATAGTTGAAAGCGGGGATTCAATTTCATAACGAAGAATTAAATTGACAAAATCCCATTTCGACACTTTTTTCCGTGCTAGCACGTGCGGAGAGCAACGCACGAGTGGAGAAAATAATTAGCATTTGATATCGCGTTTCGCTAATTTAATCAACTCCCTGGCAAACATCGCTTTTGTGCCGCGTAGAGGTGATTGATTGCTTGTTTTGTGTTTGCCAACTTTATTTCCTCAAAAAATCCGTACATCGTTGTACGAAACGAAGAGAGCAATAATCTCATGCAAATGACGCATGATGAGCCGAAACAACGTACAGGTGTAAAATTCCGATGGAGTGTTCGCAAAGTTCCTGCTCTACCTCGTTCTCCAGTTAGGCAAAGCCACCGATAAAAATATTTGCATAAATTCCATCTCCAAAACCCTCAGCCTGACCCGCACCAAAATGCAGTCCCCTTTTCCTCGCTTGAAACTACTATCCAGCAAGAGACGAGGGCCCAACTTTCGGCCAAATTATGCACGAGCTTCGATCACCACCACCGGCAGGAAGAGCGGCGCGTCTCTCGTAACAATCATACACCCCGAGAGTTTTGCTCGACGAAAGCTGGCGCGAGATTAATTAAAGCTGGGACGCAGGCGTCTCGGGGTAATTAGGAAAGCGCTGACTCGGACGGACAGCTGTTTGAGGGGGAATTAACTCGAGTTTTTGCCCGTGGATGACTTAATGGGATCTTAACGCTGCGCGCCCTGAATATATTACACGGGGAAAATCACTCGAACCTGCACGGAGTCCCCCCCCCCCCCGATTTCACGCGATTTTAGATCGCGGAAAGTTGAAGAGGACCAAAGGACTCGGTTAATCAGATGCTCCGGTTTTATTTGGATGTTAAGCTGCACTGTGAGAGATTTTTGGCCCAATTTATTGTTTTGCCAGTCGAATAAGTTCTACGGCCATTGCTTCTTTATTAATGAGCCATACAAGCATTTTCCTATCTCCGATGGTCTTACGTACTTATAAAATATGTATACATATTGCCAGTTTTTTTTTTTGTCATTTTGATTTACCATGATATAGAAATTCAATAGATTGCTATTCTTTTATGAAAAACACTTGTTCGCTTAAATTTAATTTTAATTACTTTCGGGCAAATCTTATCTATGATAATTCTAAAAGGTGATGCTCTAATAAGTATATAAAGACGACAAAATTTTTATAGATTATAACGTAATACTTCAGCGAAACATCAAGTTGTCGTTTCGTTAAGTACGCCTACACGTTCACGATGAAATTTCTTTTTGCCATTCTCGTGGTTTCCATTGCGTTAGCCGTGTGCATGGCTCAATATAGTAGTCGTAAATAAAAAGTCTTTGATTCATATATTTTTGTAATTTTATTGGCATTTATAAATGTATCGATGCAAGATGGATACATTTATAAACAAATAGAGAAACTAATTTCAATCGCATATAATATTTATTACTTTGTTTGAAATATACTATTTATTAAATTTGTTTCTAATAAAAAAAAGATTATTTATTTTAAACACGTTTGTATTTAATTTCAAATATCTTATGTTAAATACTTTTTTGTAATTAAAATAACTTTTTTCAAACACAATTGTTTATCATCAAAATGTTTTTAATATTTTTCTGAAACGCATTTGTATTTCGCTAAACTGTATCTAATACTTTGATCAAACACGAATCAATTCTTCATTTTATAAGACTTGACAAAACTTTCATTTCAAACATTAGTATTTGAAATACATTATTTGAAATACATTGACCGAATATTATTGTATTTAAAGTTTTTGCATTA